ATTGGTGCCCTACGGCTGGGCCCTATGATGCCCAAGTTGCTACCATTTCTGTTGTCGCCCTGGTGGCTGGTGACCTACCCAAAGTCTCATGATGCTATCAACCGTGCGCATGCCTCTCCCAGCTTGCACGTCATGAGAACAAGAACCTGCTGCCTGAGGTCGACGCTGGCCGTCATTTTCCAACCAGTGTTTGCACTTAACGGTTCCCAGGCGTTCTCTGAGGAATTCGGTCTGTATGTCGCAGTCGATCGTTCCCGGCTGGTGACCTATGGTTCTCGCTTCGGGCCGTCATGGCATGCGTGCCGCGGTCGGTGCCCAATGGTTCACGAACGGTGATCTATGGCCTGCGTGTCGTGGTCGGCCGTTCCCGGTCGGTGCCTTATGGTTCGCATCTCGGTGCCCCAGTGTTCCCGCTCAGCGCCCTGTGTATTACGCAGTGCTTACGCTGAGCGGTTCGTTGTGCTCATTGAGGAACGGGATCTGTGCGTCGCAGTCGGCCATCCCATGTCGGCACCCGCATGGTTTCATGTCCACGCTGTTCCACCCGGGACCAGAGCGCATAGTGAGAATGGCGACCCACACTTGCCCAGGTGTGCGCGTATCTGCGAGCTGGCTGCACGTGTGGGCACTGTGAGACGCGCAGGGATTGCATCAGCTAGGTTCCTTTGCATGTGTTGCGCGGTAACTGTTATGAAGATCTGGCTAGCTAATTCGGTTCAAGCGTCTAAGCGACAGCCGCAAGTGCTGTCTCCCTCGCATGGTGCCCGACAGCTCGCTGAAGCATCGAAGATGGGTGCGAGCCAGATCTGCGGCCCAGAGCAGTGCGTGGAAGGTTCAGAAACGCCTGTGCAGAAGCAGGTAATCGACATGGGTATGCCCTCCACCCTCGAGTGGGCGCCCGCCCGCCATCCTTCAGAAGTCGCGGCCGACACGGACGTCGTGGGCGTCGGGGCGTGGACCGAGGTGGCCGCGCCTGCTGCAGGGCGCTTGGACATCTCAGCGGGCGCCGACGCCGAGCCAGCCTTGCGAGGTCTGACCCCGCTCCCGGAGTTCCCTGGCCTCACTCCGCGCGGGGCCCGCACAGGCCCCGCGACAGCAGGCTGGTTCGAGTCTACGCATCAGGCAGCCTACCTCGAGAGCGCGATTGGTGCTGCTCGGCCAGGCCCCCCGATCGGCAGCAAGATGAAGCCTGTGTCGGATCATCGCCGCCTGCTCGACCCATTCCTCTTGTGGCGCGCCGCCAGGACGCAGGAGCTCGTGGACTATGGCAGGTCTGACCCTTTCTCAGAGTGGCGCACTCCCGACCCTTCCTCTCAGTGGCACCACGAGGGGCCGCAGTCGTCGAACGGCGAGAAGCTGGCAGGCACCTGCCGCGAGCGGCTCTTGGCCGGGCCCCCCCTGCGCAGAGAGCCAGCCGACGGCCCTGCAGCCTCGCTCCCGGGCGCTGCCAGGCCGCCCCTTGCTGCGGCCCAGATGCCAGCCGCCGCGCCCCCTGGCGGCGGTCTCGGCACGGGCGGGGTGACGGCAGGCGGGGCGCCAGGACTCCCAGAGGCCAGGGGCGGTGGCGGCCGGGCGCGGCCTGGCAGGAAGGCGGCGGCCGCGCTCTCCCTTGCTGCTGCCGCGAGGGGCATCGACCCGCCGCCGGCGCCGGCGCCAGCGCCCCAGCCAGCCAACAACCGGGCGTCAGGCTGGGCTCCCGCTGGCGTGACCCTGCCGCCCCGCACCGCGCCCCCCGGGGCAGCTCGGTCTGGCGCCGCTCCCGCGACGCTGCCGCCGGAGTCGGTGGGCCCGCCTGCCGTGCCGTAGCCGGGCGCCCTGCAGTTCTGCGGGCCAGGCCACGGCCTGTGCATCGACGGGGCCAGGGGCAGCCGCCCCGCGAGGGGCTGAGCTGTCGGGCTGCGCGCCGTGTGCAGGCAGACCGCTCATGTACCATATTGCTGGTGCCGGTGGCTCCGCGAAGGCTGGGGGCACTTGCTGGCACCTCCAGCTCGGTGAGGCCTCCAGGCCACTGCGTTCGGCACCTCGGGCGGCCCACCGCGACCCGAGATGCGCTTCGAGAATGAAACGTTGGCTTGAGGGATCTTGGACGCCTCACGGCGCAGCACCTCCCGCCGCCTTGACGTTATGAAGAGCACCACTCCGAAGGTTCCCGTATGTGACCTTTCGAGGGGGTCGTGTTTCTTGTCGAGAAGATTCCAGGAGGTCCAGCAATTGACGGCTTCTTTACGTAACACATGGACACGCGCATTTGTCGTGTTTTCTTACGCAGGCCATGGGGTGTCTCACAGTATGTGGTACGGTATTTGCGCATCTGAGCATGGTGCGCTTTCATTTAGGCCATGGGCACTTCACATGCATTTGGCACGTTGCGTGTGCTGTTGCGCATGCATTGCTAGCCAGGGGAGGCCCTGATATAAATTGCTGCTCGCATGTAGGGCCAGGGGGTCATCACATGCACGTGCCACTTGGTTAACATAGGCCAGGGAGGGGCTTGTGGATGTTGCTTGAGGTTTGCAAGCCAGGGGATATGCAGATGCGTGCGATAAGTGTTTCCCCCCCCCCGCTTTTCAGCGAAGAACTTCACGTGCATGGTCTTGCTAACGCTCACTCTTGCGTATGCTTGTTTGCACGCGTTGTGGGGCCAGGGTGGGGGCCTGTTGTTGGCCAACCGGCAAGTTGGGGTTGGTAGATTTAGAGATCTCGGGAAAAGATCCCCCGACCTGCCCCGCCTACCCCGCATACATCGGCCGCTAGGCCTCAGGGGTCCCGGTGCTCCCAGGGTATCCCGCCTCGCGTCTTCGATGAAAGGCGACTGCATATCGCGGCCGCCAGGCCCCGAGGGGCCCCGTGCGCCCTGGATATCCGCCTGGCGTTCTCGGGCGGGGGTCGCTCGAAGCAGAGTAATTATTGTGCAGGCCAGGGGGGCCCGAATATGCATGTCGCGTGTGTTTGCAAGCCCGGGGATCACCGCAGGATTCTTCAGCACACCCCAGGACACCTCCGGAACGTCTTCCCTGCCTCCCCGCCGCTGGCCTCCGCCCCCGGCGCCCCCCCCCGCCGCCGCCTGCCCCGCTAGCGGGCCCGGCTTCCTTCTCCCTCCTGCCCGCGCCAGGCGTCCTCCTCTTTCCGCCGTGCATGGCGGCCCAATTCGCGTTTTGTGCAACCCACTAATACCCCTTCGCCAGCGCAGTGATGTACCACCCATAGTTTCGGCCATGTCGGACAAAATAGTGTTGGTCCCACGTCTCGCGGCGATCCGCGCTGTTGTCCCATTGTTTTCCCGTGGTAGTCCTGTAGGTTGTCCGGAGGTGATCCCTTGGTTGTCCCGTGGATTCTCCGGTGGTTGTCCCCTGGGTTCTCCGGTGAGGTGTCCCATGGTTGTTCCGTGTTGTCTGGTGGGTACCCCGTGGATTGATTCTTGGGTTGTCGATAGGTGTATTGTGGGTTTCCCCGTGATACGGAGGTTGTGTGTCGATTCAATGTTCGATCGCATGTCGTTTTGGATTTCATGGTGCATGTCGATATGTTCCACAAAAGTGCTTGCACGTAGGGGTTCTTATTCTTCCCATTGTAATTTTGGATGGGTCTGCCGAGGTCTCGCCTGGTGGGCGGCAGTGGGCGCCTCGTGTGCGCCTCGCGGGCGCCTCGTGCGCTGGCTGGCTCTACCGATGTTTTGCCTGGTGGGCGCCTCCGGCGGGCGCCTCGTGCGCTGGCTGGTTCTGCCAGAGTTTTGCCCGGTGGGCGCCTCATCGGCGTCCCGCGCGCTGCCTGGGTCTGCCGGGGTGTTCGCCTGTCAGGCGGCCGTGGACGCTCCGTCCGCTGTATGGGTCCGTCGAGGTGTCGCCTGGTGGGCGGCCGTGGACGCCTCGTGGGCGTCCCTTGCGTTGGCTGCGTCCGCCGGGCCTTCGCCTTGTGGGCGGCAGTGGGCTCCTCGTGGGCGCCAATGCGCCAGCAGGGTCTGCCGAGGTTTTCTCCTGGCGGGAGGCCGCGGGCGCCGGTGTGGGCCTCTCGTGGGCTCGCTGGGTCCGCCGAGGGTGTCTCCTGGTGAGCGGCCGTGGACGCCTCGTGATCGCCTTCTGCGCCGCCTGGGTCTGCCGAGGCTTCGCCCGGTGGGCGGACGTGGGCGCCTCGTGGATGCCCTTTGCGCTGCCTGGGTATGCCGAGGGTTCGCCCGGTGGGCGGCCGTGGGGGCCTCGTGGGCGCCTCGTGCTGCTTGCATGGCATGGCTTACAGCGCATGGCGTACACCCATGTGCTCATACCACATGGCTCGCATCGCACAGGTGGCACCACATAGCTGTTGCCACATGACTGACACCGCGTAGCTTGCACGACGCACAGCTCGCACAACATCGCGTGTACCACATTGCCCACACCACATAGCTTGCACCACGCACACACGCACACATACACACGCACACACACACACACATTCACACGCGCACACACGCACACACATTGCACAGCATTGCTTGCAGCACGCATAGCCTGCACAACATAGCTAGCACCACATTGCTTGCACACTGAGGGTGCAGTCACTCACTGTTCGGGGTCCACGCCTGCAAACGCTACATTGATTGCAATTGGAATTACATTTCGATGTGCCCTGTGCTTTGCATTCCGATTGCAGTTGGATTATTACATCTCGATGAGCAGTCCGATTGCAATTTCGCTAGCTACGCAGTACCCAAGTGGCAGGCGCCTCATGCACGAGGACGCTCACTTCCAGGCTGCGCGTGCGAGCTTTCCAGGGCGAGCACAACAACTCTGCCGCGGGTTCCCCTGGCTCCAACCAGTTTCGGCCCGCCTCCGCCGCGCAGCCCGTTTTCCCTGCGGATGTGAAGTCAATGCCCCAATCTGGAGAAGAGAGAAGCACGTGGGGGGCTGCAGCCTGGCTCAAGCTCTAGCACTCCCCCTCCCACCCACCCAGCCCTCCCAGCCGTCCCCTCCCCAGGGCTCCTTCCCGTTGATGCGGGGTAGGCGGGGCGTTGCGTCGCCAAGATGTTGCCAGAGGACGCGTGCGCGGCTTGCGGCCGCTTGCAGCCGAAGGAGCAGTGCAACAGCTGCACGGCGGTCTTGTACTGCGCCACCGAGTGCCGGCGGGCGCACTGGCCTGTGCACAAGATAGTTTGCAGCCTCCAGTCTCAAAACTGCAGCTTCCAGAATAAGCCTTCTGCACCAGAATCACCTAACGTTACTGATTCACACCGCTTCGCATGGGACACGGCCGAACAAGCGTTATGTCCGCTGCTTGGCTGTCTTTGGGGCCGTCTCGGTTGCCGTTGGGCCGTCTGGGGGCCCTCTGGTGCCACCGTGCGTCTGGCCCGTTTTGAAGGAAGATCGTTTGAGGGTTGAGGAGCCTCACACGCCAGGTGACCCGAGAAGGCTCGGCGGATGCTTGTGACCCCGCAGAGCGGGCACCCACTGGCACTGGTGGCCTGCGCGCGCTGGCAGCCGCGGGCCGCCGGCTGGACGCGGAAGGCGCGTGGGCCTCTCAGCAGGCAGCTGAGACGACTGACGCTGCCGTGGCTCTTCCATGTTTGCACATTTTTCTAGTTGTTGAGGTCTTGAGCGAGCTGCACTATTCGCAGCTCCATGCCTGCATTCAGTCCATCTGCAAGCAATGGCGAGCGCCACCAGAGCATACGCTTGTGAGCTGGCATGCCGCAGGAGACGAGCTGCGCTCATCGTGCGTGAAATTGTTTGCTGAATTCCAGAAGTGCTTTGACAATGCAGCCCCATTCATAGCGTATAGCGACGGACCGGCGCGAGCCGTGCGCTGCAGGACGACAGTGTTGGAGCAGGTGGAGCGGGCCCCCCAGAGCGCGCAGGTACGAAGGTTGATGGAGTTTGCGCCCAAAGCCGATACTACCTGGGTTTGCTTTTCCGACGGGAGGGACCTTTGGCATCCCTGCCGCACTGCGCTGCTCCGGAACTTCCTGCGCCAGCTGGGGGGTCCAGAGCGTTGCCTCGCCGCTGGCGCGCCAGTGATGGCCTACGCCCTCAGCGATGCTGCCAGCACCATCACCGACCCTGTAGAGGTGAACAAGGCGCTGCAGCACGGAAGGAGCCGCGAAGTCGGCGTCACCTACGAGTTGCAAGATCTCGCTCAGTGCTGTCTCCGGCGACTGCTGCTGGCGTCGTTCCTGGACCGCGGGGCCGAGAAGCCCAGGGAGGACGACAGATTCTCCGCCCAGCTCTTGCAGTTCGTGGTGCGCGACGGCGCGGAGAGGCTCCTGCAGGTCTCCCCAGAGCAGCTGCGCGAAGGACCCCCCTCCGGTCTCCGCTCTCGATTGCACGGCTTGCGCGCTTGGGCCTGCCCCCCCTGAAGCCGCGCGCCAGAGGTCAGGAGGGGAAAAAACACACAGACACAATTAATCGGCGATTCCCAGAAAATATGGGAAAATATGGGAAGTGGGGGGGAAGACAGAAACCCAGAAAATATAGGAAAATATGGTGAATCTTTTTATTTGTGTGTATTTATTTGTGTGTTCTGGGGCCTCTTCAGTCACTCCTGCCTGGGGTCACCCTTGCGTTTGGCCGACTCTCTGCCGTCATCCAGCTGCCCCCAGCGCTGCTCGGGGCCCTCGGGGGCTGACCGTCGGCGCCATGAGAATCTCACGGATGGTGCGTCGCGCGGTCGTCGATCAACGCTCGAGTCCGTCTCGCAGGCTTGAGGGTCCAGGGGTCTAGCAGACAAGGGGTAATGGCCAGGGGGCATGGTGCAGCAAGGAGCAGGAAGGGAGCGAATGGGTGGATGGGGCGGCCCGGAGGGAGCTGGGATGGGTCAGGAGGGAGCGAGGGGAATCAAAAGGCGGGTCCGCAGCAGCCCAAGTTGATCTCACCCATCAGGTCACGACAAGCTGAAATTCCAAGTTTCCTGATTTTGATGCAGCGGACCCCGAACAGTAGAGTATTGAACTCTCGATGTGCATTCTGCGTGGTGAAACCAGTGAGTTACAGCATCGTGTCGATGCTACCTAGGTATGGTTCAATATACAGACTGAGGCCTACACGGTGCGGCGCAATGTCAAGGGTGCAGCTAACATGTGGTGAAGCTGTTGCGGTGCAGAGACATCCCATGTGGTGTAGTCAGTGTGCGCTGCAATCTAGCAGCATTCGTAGCAATAGCAGTGGCAGCAGCAGTGCTCCTGGTCGTAGTGGCACCCTCCATAGAGCACCAGCGCAAGAGCAGCGCGTTCGAAGGCGTCATAGGGCACCAGCCATAGGGCACCACCCGTTAGTCCTCAGGGCAAGGACCCGAAGCAGGCCAGCCAGCGCACGGGGCGGCCGCGGGGCGCCCACCGGCCGAGGGCCCACGGTTGCGAGCCAACGCGCGAGGCGGCCGCGGGGCGGCCACGGGCGCCTGCCAGCCTGAAGCCCAGAACAGCCAAGATTTCGCGTCCGCATTTTTTGTTAAAAAAAATAATAAAAACAAAAAAAAAAAAAAAAAAAAAAAGGATTTCGCGCCCGCATTGGAAACACCCGCACGCGTTGGATGACCATTGGTGCGTTTGCGGCTGTCGTGAACCGCTGCATGCGCAGAAATGGCATCGAATTGATGTTGGCGTGTATTCCTGTGTCGTCTCAGCCGTCGGTGGGAAACGCTGCAGCGACAAGGGGACGGAGCAGACCACGTGCCCACTGGATTGCATGCAGCGCCGCTGCGCAGGCACTAGTTCTTTCTGCTTTTGGGTTTCATGGAAGGACAGCACAGACAGAGAGACAACGTTGGACCAGGGTTCATTCGCGCCTTTGTTTTGAACTTGGCAGGCATCTTATCGATATTAGTTATCTGGAGCGACTTCAGAACTAATTGAGAAGCATGGGCGCTTATTCGTGCAGGTGCGTGCGTGCATCACGGCTGCTGAGTGGTACCGCGGCTGTGGCTGTGGTCCTGCTTTGCGCAAGGGGGGAGCCGAACCAAAAACAGCAGCAATAAGTTGTTGACTCTTTGCGTGTCCAGTGCAAAACACTCCTATTGATGACGTCGCCGGTATGTCACGATCTGTCCTGTTCATGGATTGACTGGCGTTGTCTTCTTCCCCGGGGCGAAGTGTGCACGTGATCTTCGCGGACAAGTTTGTTGGAGCTCTCTGTGCACGTGTGCTCGGTGTTTTTGCTCTTCGCTTCCGGCCTCTGAGCGTACCGTGTGCCCGCAGCTTCTGTCGTCAGCCGCTGCTTTAGGCCTGTTTGACCCTTGCGACGGCGCGCGGCCGTACCGCTTGCGCTCGCGAGCAAAAAAAAGTATCCCCACCAGTTTCCGTAGCCTAAATTGGCTCAAGCTTGGCTCAAGCCGTCTCGGCTCGAGCCCGTCCCCGGCTCAGGTTCGGCGCTCGGGCCCGGGCGATGGAGACTGCGGCGGCGCCGGCAGGCGTGCGCTGCTGTCCAGCGCCGTTTGGTCGCTGCTGCCGCGGGCGCGCCGCCTGGCTGCCCACCGGGGCTCCCCAGCGCGGCTGGCGCTGCTGGCGCGACGGACGCGGCCGCTCCGCGCGGCGCTTCCGCCGCTGCGAGCGCTACCAGCGCCGCTGGCGTCCTTGGATCCGGACTCCTTGCGCTGCCCGCGCCGCCCGCGCGGCTGCCGCCGCCGGCGCGACGGACGCCGCTGCTTCGCGCGGCGCGTCTAGTGCCGCTCGCGCCTCCAACGTCGCCCGCGCCGCGAGGCCTGGGCCCCCCACCGCCGCCAGCTCTGCCGACACTGATGGCGCGACGGGCGCTGGTCCTCCTGGCGACGCGCCTGCCGTCGCCAGCGCCGCCGCCGCAGCCGGCGCCCCTGGTCTTGGGTTCCTCTGCACAGCCAGCGCCGCCAGCGCAGCTGCCACCACTGGCGCGACGGACGCCGCTGCTCCGCACGGCGCGTCTGCCGCCGCGAGCGCCGCCAACGCCGCCGGCGCCGCCAGGCCTGGGCGCCCCCCCGCCGCCAGCGCTGCCAGCGCTGCTGGCGCGACGGACGCTGCCACTCCGTGCGACGCGCCTGCCGCCGCCAGCGCCGCCGGCGCCGGTTGCTCGAGCTCCTCTGCCGCTGCCCCCGTCGCCCGCGCCCCCCAGACGGTTCGGGTCGGTGCGACCCGCGCTCGCCGGCGCACGCCCCGCGCCTCCGCCGACGCTCGCGCTGCCGACGCCATCCGCGTCCGCGCGGTCGACGCCGCCGATGCGCCTGACGCGGCTGCCGCCGCCGCCGCCCGCGCGTGCGCTTCTGCGGCTGCGGTTGCCGCTCCGGCCTCCCTGTGGGCGGCCGCAGAGGACCTCGCCCTGGCTGCCGGACTCGCGGCTAATGCGGTCGAGGGCGTGCTCTCTAGCGCCGCTGGGGTCGCGGCGCGTGGCATGCTTGGGGTTTGGGAGACGGTCGTGGACAGGAGCAGGAGCAGCAACAGCAGCAGCAGCAGCAGCAGCAGCAGCAGCAGCAGCAGGAGCAGCAACAGCAGAAACACCATGTTGTCCCCCACACGTATGAGCTGCAGCGGGAGCAGCAGCAGCAGCAGGAGCAGCAACGGCAGCAGCAGCAGCAGCAGCAGCAGCAGCAGCAGCAGTCCGCTGGTGGATCTCAGTCATCGCCTGCAGCCGCTAACGGCCGCCACCCTGGAGAAAGCGCCGCCGCCCCCTCTCCCTACCCCCGCCCCGGGGTCAGCGCCGCGGTCGAGGCAAGAAATGTGGCCGAAAGCGCGCTCGCCCTTGGACACTGCCTCGCCGCGGCGGCCGGGAATGCTACATAGGGCGCGCCGACGCCTGGTGGCCCCACGCGCCAGGCGGCCGAGCAGCTCGCCTCCTCAGCGCAGGAGCAACAGCAGCCGCAGTCCCCACGCGGACTCCAGTCAGTGCCCGCTGCCGCCACCGCCCCACACTCGCGCGCTCAGGAGGGGGAGGGGCAGGGGCAGGACCGGGAACGGGAATCTGGGCGGGAGCAGCAGCAGCAGGTGGCTGGGCGGGCGCAGGAGCAGCAACAACAGCAGCAGGGGCAGCAGCAGCAAGAACACCTACGGCAGCAGCCCCCTGGAGAAGACACCGCCCCTCACCCGCATGAGCGGCCGCAGGAAAATCATCTGCAGCAGCAGCAGGAACGCCATCAGCAGCAGCACCCCCCTCATGAACCTCACCAGGCGCCTGCAACCGTCAGCTGCTAGCCTGGCCAGGACACCGTCCCTGGCCAAGATGACAGATGCTACCCTAGTGCGGCTCTAGCCCCCGCGGCCCAGGGCGCGCTCGGACAGCCTTCGGCGGACGAACAGGACAGCGAAGCCATCCTTCAGCTGGTACTGAGAAGTCCCTTCGCACTGATTCGTCCTCCTTCCCGTGCCAGCGACTCGACACGAGTGGGCATTTCGCCAAGCCGCCACGGGGCATCCCCAGCAACCCCGGAGAGCGAGCCGGAGCCATCTGAGGCGTCAGAAGACGAGCAGGGGCAGGAACGCACCACCGCCCTCCTCGGCTATCCCTTGGCTCATGCTCTTCACCCTGGCGCCCCCCTCCGTGGCGAGGGTGCGAGCTCTATCGCCAACGGGCGCTGGCAGCGCGACAGGGGCGCGCCCGCGGCGCGTCGGGCTGGAAGCGGGTGGGCGTCCAGCCTTGCCCCGGCGGCTGTCGCTCCCTGGCGGGGCTCGCCGATCGCCAGCAGCCAGAAACACGGGACCCCGACACTGGAAGGCCACTCTATAAAGCCAGGGTCCACGACTTTAGTGGGAACCCCGCGGGGAGTTCCCAGACGAGACGATCAGGCGGCTTCAGGCCACCCTGGGGGTGGCGTTCACAGTCGTCTGGCACGCCGTCGCCGAGCGGCACGCAGTTCCTGGCACCGCGCGCGCGTTCGACCCGCGTCGGCAGGACCAGCGAACCTGCGTCAACTTCCTGGCCTCACTTCGCAGCCACAGCTGCGACGCACGGGCCATGAGCGACGCGCACAGCTGCGCGAACAGCACCTGGGCCACAGATCGCGATTCGACCGCGACCGCGACAACGACCACGACATCTCTGTCACACCAGTACTGGTGGCCGTTAGCCACATCCCTGGTGACGTCGACGACGACGACACGACACTACTCGACATCGGCGACTATTCTACACCAGCGCTTGTGGCCGTTAGCCACCCCCGTGGAGGCGTCGACGACGACGAGACGACACGACTCGACATCGGCGACTATTTTACCCCGTGCTTGTGGCCGTGAGTCACCCCCCTGGAGGCGTCGACGACGACGAGAAGACACGACTCGACATCGGCGACTATTTTACACCAGTGCTTGTGGCCGTTAGCCACCCCCGTGGAGGCGTCGACG